CGAGGGGAGAGGCAGGAGCGAGGGGAGAGGCAGGAATGCCCCGAGGAGGGTCCGGGGAGGCAAGGGGGGGGGGGGGGGGGGCCCCAAAAAAGAGGAAACGGGAAGGGGAGGCGGAAAAACCCCTTGGCCGTTTTTGCCCCCCATGCCTCCCGGGCCAAAACCACAAATGGCCTGTCCGGGGGAAAAACCGCCTTGGCCCCACCCGCCGCCCCCGGCTTGAATTGGACCCCCCCCCATTTACGAAAACCCGCCGCCGCCGCCTCCAAACCCGCCGCCTCCGCCGCCTGACCCGCCGCCTCCCCAGCCTCCGCCGCCGAGGCCTCCGCCGCCTCCGCCGCCCATCCCCATCATCGCTCCTCCGCCTACACTCCAGCACACCTCGGCTCATCTCGGCTGACCGCCGCCGGGCCGCCGCCCCTCTTGCCGCCGGCGCCGGCTCCCATGCCACCGCCCCCGCCCATCCCGCACTGCGCGTGGCCGCAGCACTGCCCCGCACAGCACCCGCCGGCGCCCATGCCGCCGCAGCCCGCCATCATCCCAGCGCCGCCCATTCCGCCATAGCAGCCGCCGACGCCGCAGCCGCCGCCGCCGCAGCCTTGTGGGCAGCGAGGCGGCAAGTGAGGTCGCGCGCCCATTCGGGGCTGCCCCAACCCGCCCCTCCCCCAGGCGTGTCTTTGGGTGGTGTGGGAGGGGGAGGGAGGAGAGGGGCAAGGACATGGAGAAGAGGGGCTCGAAGCCGAGTGGAGGGGGGACTGCATCCGTGGGGCGGGTGGGAGGGGCGGGTGGTGGTGGCGGCGGGTGGCGGGTGGGTGGGCTGCCCGCACCGCCGCCCATGCCTCCCATCCCGCAACCAGCGCCCATGCCGCCCATGCCTCCCATGCCTCCGCCGCCCATCGCGCCCATCCCACACCCTGCGCCCATGCCGCCCACGCCTGACCGCATCGGCACACGGGCTGAGGGGGGGAGCCACGGTCTCGTGAAGCGTCGCGTGGAGGCGAGGGCTGCGGATGGAGCGCGCAATGCAGCTGAGCACAGCACATCGCGTCTCTTCTGAAGCGCTGCGCTGGCAGTGGCAGGGAGTCCTCCGTCTCCTGTCCGGCATCTCTCGCCCCCTCGCACCTCCCATCGGACCAGCGCAGCTTCCAGCGCAGCATCCCCCCCCGCCCATCGCGTTGCCCGTGCAGCACCCGCCGCCGCTGCCTCCCGCCCCGTACCCAAGAGGCCCTCCGAAGCCGCTCATGCTGCCGCA